TTACTCCAGTTAGTATCCTCAGTCACTAGCCGCTGCTTCGTGAGGACACCTGACGCCCTCTCCATTTTGCTCTCAACGACGAAACAGGGTTCCTCCTGCAGCCAGAGTAGAGCTACTGAGCACAAGGGAGGGGCTGAAGAGTCCTGCCCAGGGTACCAGTCAGTTACCAAAACAACAGCTGTATCTCATGACCTAGAAATATAATGAAAACCTAGACATAGTTTTAGCTGAAGTTTGTTGTTTTGGTTTGTTTTTGTTCCTTTGGAAGGATTGCACCATGATCCACAATTTCACTCTGTGTTCTTCTTTTCTTCCAGGTCAATATGTGATCAAAGACTATAATACGGAGGGCTGATGGGAGCTGGGAGAAGGGAGGGGCTGACTAACAGATGATGGAATTATCACCATCATCATTACCCTCAGCAGGGCCCCTACACAGACAACTTCTTCCACAGAACATTGAGAAGGAAAAGAATGAGGCTGAATGCATAGCTCTTCTCTACCTCATTCATTCCTTAGTTACTATGCCTGTGAGACCAGGGCCCAGAAACAAAGGGAGCTGGGAAGGTGTGAACCAGGATGTTAAGTAGAAACTTCTAGCAGTGAAGTCCAGGAAGTCCCAGAAGCTGGGTGGCTGAGGGAGAGCCATACATTGCTTAGGCATGACTTTAGCATGTGACTGCAGAAAAACAGGGAATCTATTTTTCTATCTCATGACTTGAGGCTTGACTGTTACTTGCTTTGTCTATTAGCAAAAGTGGTTACTAGCAGAAGTTTGTATACTGGACTCTACTCACTTTGGGTTCCTTTTCTTAATCATCCAGAAAACCGCCACCACATGACTGGTTACAATTGAGCCCAGCTCAAGCTGCCAACCCAGAGACTCGAGCAAATAACATGGTAGGTTTGAAGCCATCGAGTTTGGAGGCTATGTTTTAAAGAAGCAGTTGAGCAAGCAGCACACTCGGCTTCACGTTCCGTCACCAGTACATGCCCTTTATTCTTGCCGGTATGCTCAAATCTAACACTCCTGGCAGCAAAACCCATGACCGTCACTGTCCATGCACCACTTCCTCATTCCTTTGCTCCAATCAGCACCACGGGAGCATCAAGGATGGGGAAGATGCTGATAGAGACCAACTCTAAAATGTTCCCAGTTCCCCGACAGCAAAGAGTCTGTGCTGCCACAGTGGAAGGCCCTGAACATAGGGATTTCTAAGTAACCGTGGTCATCCCTCAGTAGCTATGGTGATGGTTTCAGGATACTCGTTCATATACATCCAGATACCAAATTCCACGGGTGTTCAAATCCCTTATATAAAACAGCACAATGATTATAAAGAACCTACACACCTCCTCCCTACTTCGGATCACCTTGAGAGTCCTCATAACTAACACAATGTTTTGCTGTATAAATGGGCCTCATACTGTTCTGCAGTGCTTAGAAAATAACAAAATATCTGCATGTGTTTATTAAGATACTATATTTATAAAAAACATTTTTGACCCAAGGTTGGTTGGACCTATGTATGTTAATTATCTTTTTGTCACTGTGGAAATGCTAGAGAGAAATTAAAGGAAGAAAAATTAACTTTGGTCCATGGTTTCAGAAATTCCTCTGTTGTAAGCTTGTGGTGACACAGAACATCATGGGTCAAGAATGTGGGCCAAGGCAAAGTGGCTCACTTCATAGCAATCAGGAAGCAGAGAGACAGGAAGGGGTCAGGAACAAGACACCTTTTAAGGGCATGTCCTCAGTGACCTTCTTCCTGCAATCAGGCCCCACCTTCCCATGTTGTCATCAAATAAAGCTGCACCAAACCTTTAGCATGTGAGCTTTGGGAGTATTTCAAACTCACTGGTGCGGGACCTATGGACACAGAGGGCCACGGTTAGCAATATGGAATATTTATAGTTGGTACCTGAAGCCCCTTCTCCTTCACACACAATGAAAGAAGAGAGAGCTGGGAGGCACTAGACCCTTCCTCTCTACCAGCTCCTAGAGTACCACCAGCAGGCCACCATGAGCATAGCATGGCAGCAAGAGCCTTGTCATGGGATAAGTCAGTCACCTATGTGCATGTCTGATGCCAATAGTGTTTCTTCCCTAACCTGTGGACAGAATGGGCAGTTATATCCACAGAACCTGCTGGGTTCAGGGCACCAGTACCTTGAGGGACAGGAGATGGCATTATCCTTTCGATCTTTGACACCACCTAGCACTATTGAGTTTACAAACCCCAGTTTTCACAAACAAAACTGAAGTAATGTTGTCAGTGCCACACAGTCTTTGAGTATTTAGTGCTGTGCCACTCATCAGCCAAGACCTGACTCCAGAGAGGTCACTCTACATCAAAGGAACAGGTGCAGACAACGAAGACACAAGGTTTTTATATGACGACAATAGGACTCAAAGTCCAGAGCTGGCATTTTTCTAAAGGTGGACAAAGTTGGACAAACGAGTATGAGTCAGATGAACAAGGGATAAAAGCACACAGGCCACAATAGGCAAGGACAACTGCAGGGGTGAAGAAGCAGAGGAGAAGATACTAGGGTAAGTATAGCCAGTTTCCTGGTTAGTTTGGTTGTCAATTAACCATAACCTAGAGTACCTGGGAAGAGGGAACCTCAACTGAAGAGATGCCTCAGTCAGATTGTCATGTGGGTTTTTCTGTGAGAGTATCTTGCTTGATGATTGACATAGGAGGGCCCAGCCCACTGTAGGTAGCACCATCCCCTAGGCATGTGGGCCTGGGACAGCAAGCTGAGTATGAGCAAGCAAGTGATCTGCAGAACAAGGCAGTAAACAGTAGTTCTCTATAGTTTCCATTCAAGCTCCTACCTTTAGTTTCTGCCCTGAATGCCCGCAGTGATGGCTTGTGACCTGGAAGCCTAAGTCAAATAAACTGTTTTCTCCCCAAGTTGTTTTTGGTCAAGTTGTTTTATCACAGCAACAGAAAGCAAACAAGAACAGCCAGACAAAATGAGGTTCCCAGCTGGAGGCTGGAGGGAAGGCTAGAGACCCAGGCAGAAACAGTGAGGCCCTGTGCCTAGAGCTATGGCGCAGGACAGCTGTGGAGAAAGCATCATTCACAGAGGAACTGAAGGAACATAGGAAAGCCACAGCCTGTAATGACAGTGCGGGGAAATTCTCTACAGAATCCTAAGCTAGACAATCAATTCATTCACTAACTTTACACACTCATCACTGACCCCACCCCTATGAGTACAGACGACAGCCTATCACATTCATTGAGGGTGACATAATAATGACAGTCATGATTAATGGCACACAGACTCTCTGTCACATTATATACGCTTTTGTACGAGCAATGCTTTATGTGTGGCCCCTTCGGTGCAGTTGGTCCTCTATAGCTGTGTACTACACATCGATGGAGTCAACCAACTGCAGGTTGAAAATATTTGGGGAAGAAATACCAAGCATGAACAGACTTTTTCTCATCACTAAACAACACAGCGTAACAACTGTCTTCATCATACTGATACTGTATTAGCTATAGTAAACAATTTAGGGATGGCTTAAAGTACCTGGGAGGATGTGTGACATGACACCACTTTATACAGAGACCTGAGCATCCGCAGAGTCCCTGTGTCCATGAGGCTTTCAAGAACCAATCCCTACAGAGCTGTGGGAGGATTTCACTGTTCTTTCCAGTTGAAAATTAGATTTGACCCAGATTCTGACTTCAGAGTGTCTGCCTTCTCTTCACCTCTTTTCTCTGTGGTATTGGAGTGAGCCGAAGGCCCTGAGCATACTGGGTAAGAGCTCTTATCACTCATCTATAAACCCAGACCTATCTTTATTTTTGCATTATTATATTTTATATGTTTTAGTACATGTATTATTATATATTATATATTATAGGGTAAGGTCTCACTAAGTTTCCCAGGCTTTGCCTATACTCTGTAGCCTGAGCTAACCTCTAACTTGTAATCCTCCTGCCTCAGCTTCCTAAATAGATTGGTATCACAGGTCTGTCTGTCTGTCTATCTATCTATCTGTCTGTCTGTCTGTCTGTCTGTCTATTCTGAAGCAAAGTTGGAACACACTCTCCCTATTTGAGATCATTAAAACAAAAGTCTTACCCTAGGTCCCACAGCTGTTGGGGCCTACACTGGGCCTTCCACCTGAAATATAGACCCTGGACCCAGGCTCTCAGCCCCTGATGAACCCATTGCTACTGCCATGGGTGTAAATATAGAAAGACAGTAATAACAAAGAGAAAGGGCTCCATGCAGCCTGCGCTTATTTACATGTTAAATCAGGACTGGTATAAGGAACCCCTGCATAATAAAATATAACAGTTCTATCTGGCACTTTACCTGTTGGGCCTTCCCTACACTGTACCCAGGGCTATCTATGGGGCTCTCCATTACTCTTATCAAGGAAGCCAAAGTATATTCTTGCCCTACAGCCTAGGCAGTGTGCTCTCTACCCCACTGCCTGCCTCGGTTCTAAAGCCCATCTCAAGTGTGGCGAGGCCTTGGCTCGAAAGCAGGTAGCAAGGTCAGCTATGGGCTAAACTGTGATGTTCTCCACTGGAAACAGTCAGTCATGCTCACTATTTCACTCCAAGTTATTCCCAGAGCAGGGTTCCGTTCTACAGACAATGACAAAGGGGTCTAGGCAAGCTCCGAGCCTGTCTAAAATCACAGTCACTAAGGAGCACTCTGTCTGGAGCCTGTGACAGCTGACACCCTCTGGGGACTTCACACCCATGTGTTCTTCCATCCTCCAGGACCTGTGTGCTCATGAGTAACACATCCTATATCTGGAAGATCATGTTACTCTCTCACATACGTGAACTTACTAAACATGTCCAGGACCCATTCCAAACATAAGGAATCAGGAGCTGGGGTCATGAGTCATTACATGCCTTCATGATGACCCACTGTCACTCCAAATTCTTCCCTGCCTCCCTCCAGACATGGGTGCTGAAGAGACCCAAACAACTAGCAATGGTCCTGGCAGAACTTACTGTGTAGAGCTCATTGGTCACCTTCAGCAGCTCCTCGTGCATCTGCAGGCCAATCTCTTTGCTCTGGAATATGAAAGAACAAATGTCAACATACAGAAATGGTCTGATTGCCCCTTCAAAGTCAAACTGCCCAAATAGTAACACACATACTCCCAGTCCCTTGATTTTGAAGTAGGAGATAACATCTTCCAAGAAACTTTAGAGTTACCTCATAGACTTTTTATTATCCCTTCTCCTCAATTCAGTCTGTCACCATGTCCTACCTACAAACTGCCCAATCCTTTACACTTCATAGCAGGAACTGGGGGTTCAATCCCATCACCTATCTCCACTCTTCCTAATTCCTAGTAGAACCATGCAGATGGTCTGCATTTCTCCTTCAAGCCCAGTTCTTCCAGGGAACTTCATCCTAACTCCACATGGTGAATTGCTCTTTGTGCTGATATAGTCCTGGGCTGACTTAACTAGACAGAGAAGCGGAATTTTCTGCAAGTGCAAGCAAAACTCCACACAGCCCAGTTGGTACCAGCAGGCATATAAAAACAGAAAGAGGTGCTGCCTTAGGAAGGCAGAGTAAAACCTGCTTCCTTTCATTACTATCTGAGCACTGATTGAGTCCCTAGTCTCCATCTACTTCTGTGGCTTAAGACATGTTCATTTACATTCTCCTGCTACTGTAGCTAGGGCATCCTAATACACACTCTCATCTTCCATCACCAGTTCCTAGAATAAGACATCCTTACTATAGGCCCAGGGTTCTAAAGCTGCCTTCTTTGCCTAGACTGGGGTTATATCACAGAGGCTGGTAAGGCTCTGGCTTCATTCAGAGCAGAACTGAGACCCACTGAAGGCTTTTGAGTGGGAGAATAGGACGCTCAAGGTTGTACATCAGGACAAGGAACATGCACAGAGCATGGACAATGGGGTGGGGAATGACGTGGCGCTGGAGGCATGTCCTTGTATTTCCTCAAGAGAACTATAGACCACCACATGGAACCTGCTGAGTCTCAGCTTGTCACCTCCTGGGAACCTCCCTGGAGCAGCCAGAAAGTTGATGCTTGGTAGGCAACTCTTGAAGCATCTTTATTATTGTTATTATTATTATTATTTTTAGCTGGAGTTGGTTAGGGAAGGAAAATATTCCTTTTCCTTTTTACAGTTCCAAATACTACTGAGTAAAGAGCCCAAACCAAACATTCCACCAGGGACAGGAGGCCAAAACCAAGACAATCTTCAATAAGCCACCACACCCAAACCTTGGGGACTCAAGTGACAACATATTGGGCCTTGCTGACCACATTTCTTTTTGCATTATTTTCATGCCTACAAAGGACATTGGATGGAAGGCACTTCCTTCACATACAAGGTTGAGCCAGAGAAGGCTCAATCAGCCCAGACTCACCTTTCTGACAAACTGACAGAAAACAGGGTAGCCAGTCACAAGGGCCAGCCATCAGGAAGCAGGTGTTCCCAGACTCTTTCTCCTCAAAAGTTAATCCTAGCTAAACTTCCTTAGGGACAACTAACTCTTTGTCTGGGACACATTCCTAAGAATGGATGACAAGATGATGGGCAGCCTGCCTGACTCTTCCTAGGAGCAATTCATACCTTTAGCCTGAAGTTGTGACCACCACAATCATTTCTAGACATTGCCAAAAGTCCTGGGCAGCTAAAACCATCTCTCAGCAAAATACTGTCTAAGGCAAGGCCTCCAAGCAGCAGCTTTTCTGGCCCGCAGACATATTTTGTTTGGCCACTTGGAGCTTCTAGGAAATCTGAACATTTTTTCAGCATTTAACAATCAATATATTTCCCTCATAAGCCCAAATTTTCAGCTACTCTAGGAAGACAAGATGGCTTAGTATTCCAAGCCCTGTGTCAACTACAGCAGTCTCATGCTATCCAGATGACCATGGGACCCAGGACCTCTGTTCACCAGGCCATGACCTCAGCTTGGCCCACAGAGGTGTTTCAACTTATGATTCAGAAAGCAGAAGTCATTTCAGAAAGGAGTGGCCATCTGCTCCTCCAGGTGCTCACCAGGATGACAGCTGCAGCGCCAGGACATCTGAGGTGTGAGCGGATCTTTCACCGCCAGCATTCATCCCACTCTCGGGTGCATCCAACCCACAGTCCATGGGCTGCCTACACTCCAGGGGAGCTGTGAATCTAACCCAGCAAAAACTACAAACGTGCTCAACACATTAGGACATTTCTTTTTGGAACTGGTTTCTTTCTGTAACTCAACTGGGTAGATCTCAATCCTGAATTTTGTATACAGCCACAATGTGTGGCAGTGTCAAAAAGTGGGACACTCCTAGGAGCTTCTGACTGTGTGGTCGCTGAAAACACACTCTTGTGACTCTGCAGTGGACCCCAGCACCATGAGCCATGTGGATTCACAGTACACTGAAACCCTGCGTGAGCCTGTGGCATCTCTTCTAGTCCTGCCCTCGCTCCAGGTCCCTTCGCACATGCATGGAGCTTCTAGCAGAGAGCAGCCTCTACCATGCACTGCAGACAAAGCTGAGCAGGAAAGCCCTGCTTCCTTTTTTCTTTTTTCTTTTTTCTTTTTGGTTTTTCAAGACAGGATTCTCTGTATTGTTTTGGAGACTGTCCTGGAACTCGCTCTGTAGACCAGGCTGGCCTCGAACTCACAGAGATTCGCCTGCCTCTGCCTCCCGAGTGCTGGGATTAAAGATGTGCTCCGCCAATGCCCAGCAGGAAAGCCCAGCTTTCAAGCAGTATCTAGCAACAGCATTCATGGACATCTTCCATTTGCTTGATACTATTCGGAGTCCCTAACAAGCATTGTCTAATTTAAACCTTTAAGGTAGCTACTACTATCGTTCTCTTTGACACATGGGAAGAGCTAGAGGTTCAGAAAGGCTGCGTACCTTGCCCAAGATGGCACAACTGGAAAAAGGCAGAGCCCAGAATCAGCTTTTGGTTGGTATGGCTCAAAAGCCTGGTCTATTTCTTCAGGACTTGGGGTGCCATGAGAAGACACAGGTAAAAAGCAGCCACTGCAAAGATGCAATGGATACAAGTCCAGGCCTCAGGCAGGTGGGAGGGAGGCCAAACCCACGGGACACTGCCTATGTCTCTGATGTACCCTCTCTGTCCACTCAGGTATTGCCTCGAAGGCCATGTCCATAACGCTCAAAGCAAGTCTGGTTCCTTTTGCTCTGCTCGGGACACATCAGCATCAATGACTATCATTTGCTTCTCTATTCCTCCAAGAGATGTGGGTGGGACTGGCCTGTGTCTGGCTGCTCCACCAGACATGGGCTGGCTGTGACAGGGTCAACTGGAAACTTGTCTCAGGGATTGGATCACAGAAAGAATTGTGGCTCAGGCTAAACCAAGAAGCTTTATCCTTAGGGGCATTTTCTGTGACATGTTGAGCACAAAGACTTGTATACAAGAGAAACTCTATAAATGCCCTCACATACTCTCATGGATACAATTTAAAGTTAGAGAGAATTTTTACCCTTCTTCATCAAAACAAGCAAACATCAATTTACATCAACATGAGGTGAAATGACAAAATTTCTCTTGCAATGACACAGTTCCTAAGTGAAATCAATTCCATTGCTATGAAAATCTTGCCATGTGTGACTTGATTTAGTTTTTAATGCAGGGCTCATTATGTTTTTGAGGGGAAACCCTTACAACTTTATTATAGAACTGAGATGTAGCTCAGAAGTTGAATGAGTGCTTAGTATGCAGAGGATCTGGGTTCAGTCTCCAGTACCACACCTCAAAACAATACCCCCAAAATAGGTCTGCCTTAATAAACACCCTAGGACTTTATAAGTTGCATTTGAAAAGCTCTGGGGGTTTTTTGTTTGTTTTTTGAAACAGGGTTTCTCTGTATTGTTTTAGAGGCTGTCCTGGAACTCGCTCTGTAGACCAGGCTGGCGTCGAACTCACAGAGATCTGCCTGCCTCTGCCTCCAGAGTGCTGGGATTAAAGGTGTGTGCCACCAACACCCAATGAAAAGTTCTGTTCTTAAGGCGTCCATCCATATCCCCATCTAACTAAGTCAAAGGTGGGCCATTTCTAACACTAATGTCATCTATGCTTCTATCCCCACCCAAACCCATGCAGAAACCCAAGCTCAAAGCCATGTGGTAATAATATTGAAGGTAGTTAGGATTAGTCAAGGTTAGCAGGATGAGGTCCCCCATAACAGGATTAGTGCCTTTGCACAAGAAGAAAGAGATCCCAGGTGGCACCGCCTACTCCGCCTTGCCATGTGACCTTTGCACAACCTTGGGGTTCTGAAAAGTTCCCATCAACAAGAAGGCCTTCATGAGTTACAGCCCTCCAACCTTGGGCTTCCAGCCTTCATAACTGTGAGCAGAGCAAACCTCAACTCTTTGTAAATTACCTACTCTATATGTCTTTCTGATATAGTAACACAAAACAGACTAGGAAGATATCTAAAAACAGCACTAATTATGTTGAGTAAGGTCTCACCTAGGTCAAAAAGCCAACAACCACATGTTCTCTCTCATATGCAGATCCTAACTTTGAATCTTTTTGTTTTGTGTGTTTAACCTGCAGGTGGAAGCCAGGAAACAGGCTACTAGATATGAGTGGATGCTTGGAGAGGGAATCGTAAAACACAGGTAAAATAGAGTAAGAAGTAGAGACCCTGGGAGGTTTAAGGAAAGATCCAAGTGTGAGGGGATGGGAGGGTGAGGGGATGGTTAAGCTGAGGGCTTAACCAAAATGAAGGGCGTATGAGAAAAAGGAATGTGGAAACCTACAATCTTATGACACAAGAAAACATTTCAATTAGTGTAGAAAACACAAGAGTCATGAAAAGAGCCAGGAGAAACACCCTGAGTGGAGAAAGGGGGGTTGAGGAGAGGGGAGCATAGAGGATAGTCAAGCCAAGGATCCATGAAAAATCCCTAATAAGCATTTGTTAAAAGAGTTTGAACACAAGCACCCTACATGGGTGGACAATGATGCTAGTAAAATATATGGCGTATTAATGAAAATCTCAGTGCCAAGCATGGGCTACCTCTCTATGAGTTATTAGTCAGGAA